ATGAAGCAAAACACAATGAACCCTAAAAATCAATGGAACAACTGTAGATCAAGATAACAATTTTAGTAATTAATGGTCTATTAGTTGAAAAAAAAGAGTTTGATTTTTTTTAAGTAAAGTTTTGAATTTGAATTTTATAAATGAAAAAGCATGTGTTGAGAGAGTTTTCTTTTTATAGAATCCAATATAACTTGATTTCAAATTAGTCGAAATCTAATGTGATTTTTGAATACTAAAAAATTAATAACAAAACAAAAAAAGAAAAAAAAAAGAAAAAAAGAAAGAATAACTTTAGTAGAGCGGTCACAATAACCCCTTTTAATGATAATATTTGTTATTACTAAATATATTATTTTATATCATATATTATTACAAAAAGTTACATGTTGTAACAATATATATTTTTTTTATAACTAATATTTTATAGCATTAAGTCATTACTAAAAAAGTATAAAACAACTATAGTGGTTATTAAAACAAAAGTTTGCAACCACAAATGTAATCGTCAAAAATAAAATTTTCAAGTGTGATTAGTAGCTTAGGATATTAATATCTTGTAATAAATGTTTATAACATTTTGTGAAGACTATGCAATTATTAAAATTAATTTCAAATGAGAAGTTTTGTTTATCAACGATTTCAAATGCAAAATATTTACAATCAACTAGAGAACAGTAAATTGAAGATGTTTATTGAACTTACATTAAGCAATATGATATTATAAAAAAAATATTTCAAAGAGATTATGAAAAATACAAATTTGAGCAACTAAAAAAATTTTAAATTAAAGAGTTTCTCTAACAACCGAATACAAATTTGAAGAGTTTATCTAACTACCTAACAAAAAATTTCACTAAGAATTCTAATCTAAGCATAACATTTTCTACACCAAAGACCAAATCAATTGTAACACTTTCATGAATCCACGACACTTGGCATGCTTATTGAGGGAAGGAAGAGGAGACCCAACAGATAAACAGACCAGCAACAATACTTGCTAAAAAAGATAGAGGAACATTTATCCTCAAACATGTCTTGGAAGATAAATGTAGAAGATGCCATCAAAAGGATCTTCGTGAAATTGAACATTATTCGGAGGTCTAGATGGCTGGTGCTAGCACTAATGTGTTGCCTCCAAGTTCTTGCATACAATCAAAATAGTTTAATTAGAAAATGTATAAAATGATAAAGAATATGAAATAATAAAATCAACATCTCACCTGCACCTAATCAAGTTTAAATTCAAATTAAGCACCTTGTGGTAGCTATAACTCCTCTAGAAGAAAAAAAGTCAACAGAAGAAAGTCCGAAAAATTCGTCCGTGCATAATCTCATATAAGATAGGGTTTTTTGTAATTCACTAAAACTTTAACTCTTCCTTTCCATTTATTTATTTTTAAATAATGCATTAAAATAAGAAGAT